AAACTTTGGCTGTAAAATAAATAATTATGATTTAAAAAAAAAAGTAAAAACCACAAATATGAGCTTTTAAAAAAAATATGTGAAAAAATAGAGAAAAAGCTGTGAAAAAATTTAGGAGCAGTTTTTGATTTTAAAAACTTTTAAACCAATAAAGTCTGATTGGTTAACTAATGGTTTTTAAGATTTTAATTTTTTCTAAAACCTTTACAGTTTTTAATTTTTTTTTTTTGCCAATCAGTATATTTCTATATTTTTTTGGAATGAAAGTATACATTGTATATTCAGAAGTTTAGTAGATCTAATAGATTCAGAGTTATACTGTATGTGTATTGTATATCGCTATAAATAAATACTCTTAGAGACTTAGACCATGGTTAATACCATATCTTAGCTGAATAAATTTAATCAGAGGAGATATCTTACTTTTAGGTAAGATATGTTTCCTGTTTTAAGAGCATGATTATTGGTATTACCTCTAATGAGTTTCTTATGAATATTTAATGAATTGATTTGTATCAAGAAACTATTAAAAGAAACCCTGTTTTTTTAATGGTCCATTGGTAGAAACTTACATAGGTTTCTTGTAAGAAAAAAAAATTATGTTTTTTTTTAATGGAAATAAAGACAATTAATTAAATTATTACATTATGAAATTACAAAAAAAACAGAAACAACACAAACATACAATTGAAATGTAAACTTAAATTTTGTAATACAAACTTAATTGTTGGCTTCAGTACGTCCCAAATTTTTGTCAGACATGCTCCAACAAATCAGCTTGCAAACGATCATGCCGTGGTTTATCCCGAATATCATTTCGAATACCCATCATATTAGCAATGTTTGAGGGCATATACGTTGAATATGAGAGATCCACAGTTGAACTTCCGCTTCCTTCTCCATGTTCAAAATCTGAAAGATCAAAATGTCTGTATCCATCTCGTTCGTCTTCTACTATCATATTATGGAGTATGATACAAGCTCTCATAATCTTCCCTATTTTTGCTTTATCCCAAAAATGAGCGGGATTTTTAACAACGGCGAAGCGAGCCTGTAAGACTCCAAAAGCACGTTCGACATCTTTTCGGTAGCCTTTTTGACGTTCAGCAAATAAGCATGACTTAGGATCTTGTGGAGCTGGTATAGATTGCACAAAAGTGGCCCATTTTGGATAGATACCATCTGTGAGATAGTATGCTAACTTATACTCCCGTCCGTTGACATAAAAATTTACTCGTGGAGCTTTACCTTGTATTATATCATCAAAAACGGGAGATCGATCAAGAACGTTTAAATCATTTAATGTACCTGGAGGTCCAAAAAAGGCATGCCATATCCACAGATCATATGAAGCAACTGCCTCTAGAACGATAGTGGGTTTTCCTGAACCACGTGTATACTGGCCTTTCCAAGCCGTTGGACAATTCTTCCACTCCCAATGTATACAGTCGATGATTCCTATCATTCCGGGAAATCCTCGTTGCTCTCCGAAATGAAGTAACCGTTGAAGATCCTCTGGGGTGGGTCTTCTTAAGTACTCATCACCGAACAAATTAACAATTCCTTCTACAAAATGTTCCAAACATGCACGAGCGGTTGTTTCACCTAGACGGAGGTATTCGTCAACTGTATCAGCCGCAGTGCCATATGCCAAGAGACGAATGGCAACTGTACACTTCTGAAGTGGTGAGAGACCAGGCCTTCCGAGCGCATCTTTCTTCTGTCTGAAGTAACGTACTTCGGTGGAAAGTTTTTCAACTATACGTAAGAACAAATGTTTGTTCATCCTAAAACGTCGCCGGAAATAATTAGCCGGATATGTTGGAGTTTCACTGAAATAGTCGTTCCATAACCGGTTGTGGCCTTCTTCACGATCTCTTTTGATAAAAGCCTGTTTTTTCCGTGATTTGGTTGTCTCCATTTGATCGCCATAATAATTCAAACAATTCTGTAAAGTTTGATTGAACATTTGCTCTACGTTTTCTTCAAAAGCTTCATTAACTGGCCCATTGAAGTCGTTGTTGGATGAAGAAGCCATTTTTTTAAAGGAATTTGATTGGAAATGAAAGAAAAAGAAGAGAATTAAATTGAGAAAGCTTGTGATTTGTATCAAAGTATGGAAACTTATATTGGTAGCAAAGTAAGAAGGAAGACGAAGGAAGAGTTTGGAAACTTAGATTGGTAGCAAAGTAAAGTCTCTATAAATAAACGACTCTAACTTATACATGTGGTGTCAAATTGTTTTTACAATGTGTGGTCTGAGAAGAAAAAAACAAAATACAAGGCAATAGAAAAGAGACTTGTGACACTCATTTGGTGTTTTGTGGCCACGCCTATGCAATAATTCTTGTCCACCGAGTGGGAAATCTGTCAACACAATAGTACAAGTACAAACATAAGGTGAGTTGGCATAATAATTGAACAAGAGCAAAGTTCATCATGTTTAGTTAATTTTTTTATAAAGATCAAACTTAAAGCTCATCATCGTAAGGTAAAGAACAAAAGTAACACCAACATTCAAGTTAATAAAAAGAAACATTCATTTTCATAGATAAAGAACAAAAGTAACAACCACATTCAAGTACTTAACCGAGAGATCAGACCCACCTTAAGCAAGTACAAACACAAACTTAAGGTTTAAAAAAGCTTAAACATAAACTTTAACAGAAAACATTCTAAAACAATTCAGTCATGAGTTTCTTCTTAACATCTTCCTCATACTCTGATAGTGGCCCTTGCTTGGCCAAAAGACATTCAAGTATACCCATCTTTTTGATTTTTGCCTTCATTTCCAAGTCTTTCTCTTGAATTGGCCACACTGCTTGAAGCGCAAGCAATGGTTCTTCTTTCTCTACCGCTGGCTTCTTGCCCTTGGCTTTAGATGCCTTGACACCTGCAGGTCGCTTGCCTCCATTATCTTCATCGCAAGGGTGGGTCTCCTCAGCACCCGATCCATCTAAAACTCTTCTTTTTTTGGAGTTTCCAGCGACTTTTTCTGTTGAAAGAGCAGACCATTTCTGATCATTTCTGAGCTCATACCAAGCATGCTCTAAAGTGAACTTCTTCTTGTGATTGTTGTAGAATATCTCATGAGCCATTTTGAGAATATCATTCTCATTCTGACCACTTGATCTCTCTCTACAAGCAGCCTCATATGCTCCACAGAATTTGCATACTTGATCATTTATTTTCTGCCATCTTTGCTTGCATTGGATCGCCTCTATCTTCTCACCAACACACTTTGAAGATGCTGAAAAATAAATGGCTGTTGACTTCTGTTCATTTCCCACCACAGCATCCTTACTAGTGTTTAACTACGAGCTAATGAGAAGAATATCATCACTCGGGCTCCACTGTCTTCTTTCCTTCTTTTCCACAACAGGTGATGCTTCACCGATGGATGCAGCACACAGAGGGGTTTCTTCAACAAAGCTTGATGGATATCCGCAAAAAACAGAATCTTGTTGACTGTTCAACAGTTCAACAAAGCTGGGGTAGAAGAGAATGCCATTTGGTACAAGGAAAGATGAGAAGAAAAGACCAGAAGAAAAGATAAAAAGTTGAGAAGAAAAGATGAGAAGAGAAGGATTAAAAGAAAAGATGAGAAGAAAAGAAGAGAAGTTTGAGGCAAGTCGCTTTTGGGAATTGGTTGTGGAAATGGGTTAAGGGATTACAAGAAAAGATGAGAAGAAAGAGATGAAGCAAGACTCTTTTACGGAAAGAGGAAGAAGGAGAATCAAAAACAGAACAAAAAACAAGCACAAACTGAGAAGAAGAAGGAAAGAAAATATGATTATAAATAGAGGAAGCACCAGCTATGAAATAAACCAACGATGCAACATTAATGAAGGTAATGAAAAGGAACATTGAAAGAAGAAAACCATAAACGTTTTCCAGGGTTCATACCCCATTTAATATCATAAACCAACCTAATCTCAGCCATTACTCTACACTAAAGCAAAAAGAGGTATATTGAGTTGACATTTATCTAACACAGAATCAGCTTTCATTAACCACTTCCCTAAATCATTAAACCCTTTAAAACCATGAAAACTGAAGCAGCATTGATCAAGCCTCAACCACTCCATATCTAACTAGGCATTAATTGTCATCAACAAAACTAGAAGACTAACCTTAACCTTTGTAACGAGCAAAGAGAAGAGGAACCTTGGTTACGAGCATAGAGAAGAAGAACAGTAGGAGATAGACCTTTGGCATAATAAGCAAAATCTGCAAAAACCATTAACCATATTATGAACCATCACCGAGCATGAACAATTTCAATCATGAACCATTAACTTAAGCTAAAAGAGATAGAAATAGATAGAGCATATGATCAAAAACGATTTACATATGATGAACCACATACCATTTACAGATCAACAACCATTTGCAGATCATGAACCGTTTACAAATTACAGATCAGAAAACCATTTACAATGCATCGATTTAGAGACTAATTCAGGAAATAGATAGAAACTACATGCAACATAGAGAGATCATTTAACTATTTCTAAGATTTACAAACGAAATCCTCGATGAAGAACACGAGAAAGAAGATGAAGAATCAAAAACGAACAAAGAGGATTAAGAGGATTAAGAATCACTTATCTGTTAAATCGATGGAAAACAGATACAAGCCTCTGCATATCGGTGCCGGAGAAGAAGAGCATCGCCGGAGAAGAAGAGCATCGCCGGAGAAGAAGAGCATCGCCGGAGAAGAAGAGCATCGCCGGATGAATTAGTCGGGTGCTTCGGTGAGATCGTTTCGACTCAAAGAGAAATGGCCATGTTTTTTTGACCGAAGAAGATGAGATTTGGCCGAATTTTTTTCAAGCCACTCAAAGATCGCCACGTCCATAAGACGGATCGTTTCTTCTCAGTCCAAAATTAGGATCGATCCCACTTATATTGGATTTTTTTAATTAAATTTTATTCTAAAAAAGCCTCAAGAAACCAAGAGAAAACCTGCAATAAAGATGGTTTAACATGCTTCCATCTCAAAGTCAAAACCCTTAAAGAAAAACAGAGACCATCACAAATCTCTTTTTCTCTCTCTCTCTAATCTCTTCAATGGCTTCTTCTACTTCAACCCTTCTTGGCCCACCTTCCGTCGCCTCTTTAGAGACTCCGAACACTAATCCGCCGGAAACCCCTGTTTCCGATGACCACAATTTGATCTCCAAAACCGCCACACTAAACCTCGAAGGAAAACCACCGATGGGTCTAACCGAAAACTTCTCGCCAACTTTTCTCTCCTCGGGGAACCCATGTCTCGATTTCTTCTTCCACATCGTCCCCGACACGTCTCCCGGCGATCTGATTCAACGGCTGGCGGTTTCTTGGTCTCACGACCCGTTGACCACGTTGAAGCTCGTCTGCAATCTCAGAGGAGTTCGAGGAACCGGAAAATCAGACAGAGAAGGGTTTTACACTGCCGCGTTTTGGCTTTACCAGAATCACCCGAAAACCCTAGCTTTGAATCTCCCTTCTCTCGTCGATTTCGGGTATTTGAAAGATTTGCCTGAGATTCTTTATCGGATCCTCGAAGGTCAGGAAACAGAGAGAGGGAAGAAAATGTCATGGAGGAAGAAGACTCAGAGGAAATTCAAGCGTAAGAGCAGCGAAAGGTCCAACCTTTCTGGTGATTTGGAAGATCGGATTCTTGAAAACGCAGAGGAGCTTGCTGGTCCTGTAGATAAAACCAAGGCCAGGGCTTTACGGAAACAGAAAGAGTTGGAGAAGGCGAAGAAGGCTTTAGAGAGGTATAAATCAGATGCCAATTACAGATTACTGTTTGACAAAGTTGCAGATTTGTTTGCTGATTTGTTGAAATCAGATCTGAAGTGTTTGAATTCTAATGAGCCGAATAAGATTGGTTTAGCTTCGAAGTGGTGTCCTTCTGTTGACTCTTCGTATGATAAGACTACTTTGATATGTGAAGCAATTGCTAGAAGAATGTTCTCTAGAGATGAGTACCAAGGAACAGAGGAAGTGCATTACGCTTATAGGATTAGAGATAGGTTGAGGAAAGAGGTTCTTGTGCCGTTGCATAAAGCTCTTGAATTGCCTGAGTTGTCTATGAGTGCAAATGAATGGAATCTATTGAAGTACAATAGAGTTGCTTCCGTGGCTATGAAGACTTACAAGAAGCTCTTTGTGGAGCATGATGGCGAGAGGTTTTCGCAGTTTCTTGAGGATGTGAAGTCGGGAAAGGCGAAGATCGCTTCTGGTGCGTTGCTTCCACACCAGATAATCAGCCAGCTTGAGGATGATAGTGGGAGTGAAGTTGCAGAGCTTCAATGGGCTAGAATGGTTGATGATGTTGCCAAGAAAGGGAAGATGAGGAACTCTTTGGCGATTTGTGATGTCTCTGGAAGCATGAGTGGTACTCCTATGGAGGTTTGCGTGGCGCTTGGTTTATTGGTCTCGGAGCTTAATGAAGAGCCGTGGAAAGGGAAAGTTATCACCTTTAGCGAAAACCCGCAGCTTCATGTAGTCACGGGTTCGAGTCTGAGAGAGAAGACAGAGTTTGTCAGGGAAATGGACTGGGGGAATAACACGGATTTCCAGAAGGTGTTTGATCGGATTCTAGAGGTTGCAGTGGAGAATAATTTAACCAAAGACCAGATGCTCAAGCGTTTGTTTGTGTTCAGTGACATGGAGTTCGATGAAGCTAAGGGAGACAGTGGTTGGGAACGTGATTCGGACAGTGATTCGGAGGTAGATTACTCTGTTCGTTACGAGGAACAGTTGAAGAGGGCAAAGCAACGGTCCAAGGAGAAATGGGAAACAGATTATGAGTTGGTTCAGAGGAAGTATAAGGAGAATGGTTTTGAGAATCCTCCTGAGATTGTGTTTTGGAACTTGAGAGACTCGTCGGCTACACCCGTGGTGGCTAAGCAGAAAGGAGTGGCTTTGGTTAGTGGGTTTTCGAAGAATTTACTGACTCTGTTTCTTGAGGAAGGTGGGATTGTGAATCCTGAAGATGTCATGGGGTTAGCCATTAAAGGTGAGGAGTACAAGAAGCTTGTTGTTTATGACTGAGTTACACATACACAAGCTATAACGCTTAATACCTAGCACCATATTATATATTTATCAGTTTTTTTCTTTTGAGTTTTACACCAACTAAAGTTTGAATTTTTTTTTTTCGTGTTCTATTTTTGATCTGTGGTATTATGCGATGAAATGAATGAAATCTTGTTTATTCTTTCATTTTAAGTACCTACGCCTAATTAGATTTACAATTAAGAAATTGAAATGATCTAGAAGTCATAAGAGGAGGCATCACTCTTCGTTTCCTCCTAACTTTGGAATCTTTCCTCCCTCTCTCTCTTGGTTCTAATAGAGGAAAGGGCAAAAGCCAAACTAATATTCTCTAATCTCTTTCTCGTTATTCCTGTGGTGTCCTCTCACATCCGGTAGTTTCATAACGAATATGTTCTTGTAGATGGCCAAGTTGCTTGATTGATATGATGCAAACAAATCAACAAAACAATTTTTTGAGAATTACCCTGAACCCAAAACCTAGATACTATGAAGGCGAAAGAACGCTTTTCACGCTCTTTACCCGTGAAAGATCTTGAATTTGAAGCACGACCTAACCGGATTTGATTCAAGCTCAACAAAACAAATAAGGAAAGAGTTTTCTAATTGAGCTAGCATCTGGTTGTGACATGATGTAGTTGAACTTAGAACAATGTAGGTTATGTTTTAACACATGGGCTTTTGCTAAAATGGAAGAAGAATATATTCTTCAACGCGGCTTTATAAAGCCCTTTCATCAAGTTGACAATCACCGTTCTTTACCACAAAGAGAAAGAGCATATAAAAGAACATAAAGCTCTAAACTTTTTCACTTATTTTCTATATATATACAACAGCTTCTGTTTATTATAAATCTTTTAGGTTCGTCATTGCTGTTTAGTATCATTGTTGATCTGTTTCTTGAGGTTTATCAATGGATGCTTTAGACTCGGTGATCAAGAGGTTGCTTGAAGCTAGAGAGAAACCAGGAAAGACTATTCAGTTGTCAGAAACAGAGATCAAAAAGCTCTGTTTCGTCTCTAGAGATATCTTCTTGAGACAACCAAATCTCTTGGACCTCGAAGCTCCTGTCAAAATTTGTGGTAACATAACCATTCTCTCTCTCTTTCTATCTTATCTATTCTCTGATATTGTGTTCTTACGGAAAATTTTGGTTGAAACAACAAAAAACAACAGGGGACATTCATGGACAATACTCAGATCTCTTAAGACTGTTCGAACACGGAGGACACCCTCCTCATTCTAACTACTTGTTCCTTGGAGATTACGTCGATCGTGGCAAACAAAGCATCGAAACAATTTGTCTCTTACTCGCTTATAAGATCAAGTTCCCTGAAAACTTCTTCCTCCTCAGAGGAAACCACGAAAGTGCTTCGATCAATCGCATCTACGGCTTCTACGACGAGTGTAAACGTCGTTTTAGTGTCAAGATTTGGCGAATCTTCACTGATTGCTTCAATTGTCTCCCCGTGGCTGCCCTCATCGATGACCGGATTCTCTGTATGCACGGTGGGATCTCCCCGGAGCTGCTTAGCTTGAGACAGATTAGGGATATTCGTCGTCCAACGGATATTCCTGATCGTGGTTTACTCTGTGATCTCTTGTGGTCTGATCCTGATAAAGTGGTTAGAGGTTGGGGGCATAACGATCGTGGAGTTTCATACACTTTTGGATCGGATACAGTTTCTGAGTTTCTCAAAAGACTCGATCTTGACCTAATTTGTAGGGCTCATCAGGTTTGTTTCTTGTTACTTGCGCTCAAAGCAACAGTTTACAGTGTGTGTTTTCTTTTGACGCAAGCAAACGGTTTCGTCTCAGGTTGTGGAAGATGGGTTTGAATTCTTTGCGAACAAGCAGCTCGTGACGATATTCTCTGCGCCGAATTACTGTGGGGAATTCAATAATGCAGGTGCGATAATGAGTGTGGACGATGATTTGACCTGCTCTTTTCAGATCTTAAAACCTAATGACAAGAAATCGAAATTCAGTTTCGGAGGCAGAGGTGGTACTAAAACTAGCTTCCCTTATCCTAAAGTCAAGGTATGTGTATAAATCACATAGCATATTTTTCAGTTAGTGATTTAGTTTCGGTTTATGATTTCAAATAAGTGTGTTTTGTTTTTATTTTTTAAATATAAAAATGGCATATGAAGGTCTACGTATTCAAATCTGTTTTCTCTTTTGAATTCAATGGAAAAAAATAAAAATAGAAACATCACCTATCAGTCTTTTGATATTCTGCTCTAACGAAAAACTCTCCGTTCCAAAGGGACTTTGAATCCGGGGTACAAAGGAACCAACCCTTTTTAGACCCAATGTTTCAAAATTAACACTTAATCAATGGACTTTAATTTTGAGGTTTATTCGGTTACTGAAATAGTTGGGAATTTTTGTTGCCCGATTCGAGTGAGTTTTTTTCGTTTTTTTTCTTAATACAGACTATACAGTTTGTTAGTTTTTGTTAAAACATATACATTCGAGAATACATTTTAAAGCACATTTTCTCTTTTGAATTCTATAGAAGAGTAAAAAAAAACATTTTTCAATCGATTTTTCAGGGTTAAACACCTTTGGGATTTCTCATTACTAGTGATTTAAAGTCATAAATTTTGGTGATACCATGATGTACATGGGTAAGCTTGAAATCTCTAACCATTTGATCGAAATATTTTGTTTTCTTTTTATATCCAGTCGATTCTGAGTTCGCAGAGTTCATACAACCGATGAAGATTTGATGACTCACGATGACTTCTACAAGCATGCAACTGAGTATGATAATGCTTAGCAAGAGCAAGAGGATTTTGAATTTCGGATTTTTAGAAGCTTTTGGGTTTACTTATTTGGGCACTTCACTTTACCTGTGTGTGTGTTTTCTTTGCTGTTGTCTTCTTTCTTTTCGTTGTAAATTTGGTTTTGTAATTGTTGGTGCATTAAATTTGAATAAAACATGTTTTCCTTTGGACCAAATTTTTGGTTATGTTTTTTCGAAACCACCATACATCTTTTCTACTTTTATTTTCCAAAACTGTTTCTAACAAGAAAAATATATTCACAATTTTTTCTCTCGATCATCCTACATCCGACGATAAACTCTATATGACTACATAAGGAATAATAAAACCAAAAATGGACTTAGCACGAAAATATGTTCTATATGACTACATCATCTATACTATTAAAACAGAAGCATGTTTTGTGTCTAAACAGGTTTTACTTAATTTTTACTATTCTATTTTTGGATAACTTTTTTTTGGCTCAACAACATACTCTTATTAATCCAAAGATTATTACAACTCAGATTTTTCCTTCTCAACTTCTTTTGCAACCCAACTTGGCACACAAGAATACAACTTAAGAACACTAATATCAAAAGATAATGATTCCTGAGTTATTATATCAGCCACTCTATTACTCTCTCTCTTTTGGAACTCAGTCCTCACCTTATCAAGACTTGTAATTAGACAGGATATATCTTGAAGGTATGCACTTAGAGTCCGCCATTGTTCTCCATCCATACATGCATCCACCATGTTTTTGCAGTCAGTCTCAAATATCACTTATCGATAGCGAAAACTAGAGAGCGTGAGTATAGCCCATCGGAGAGCTTCAGCCTCTGCTTCTAGAGCCAAATTCATTTGTGGCAATACTCGACCTCCCATCCATATGACATCACCACGAGAATCCCTCAGGATCCATCCACACCGATCACCACCACTCTTCCACGCTGCATCCACATTGCATTTTTAACCAATCATTAGAGAGTGGTTTCCAGGCCGAGCGAGTTCTTACCGTGGGAGCGATAAGTCTTCTCTGTTCTTTCTCCTTCTTACTATTCTACCAAAACTCAGCATCTTCCATAGCTTTTTGAACCAATGCCAGAGGGTCATAATCCTTCTCTTTGAAAATGAAATCATTTCGATTTTTCCACAACCTCCAAACCAACCATGGGACAAATTTCTTTGCTTCCTTAAAGACAGGTTGATTATTAGCAAAGATAAGAACTCTATGTAAATTTGAAAAGATATAGTTAGACATTATTCCATACGGAGGAGCAGGAACAGGGGAAATGGCCCAGTTCAGGCGAGCATAAGGGCACTCAAAAAGAACATGGTTCACATCCTCAACTCCATCTTGACATCGAGGACACATAGGGTCTTTAGCTATATGTCTGTTAACCAGATTCACAGCAACAGGGAGTGAATTACACAGACACCTCCAAAGAAAATGCTGAACTTTCGGACTTGTCTCAGATCTCCACACCTCTTGGAATAAACAGTCCAAACTTGGCTGGTTAATCTCTACCAGTTGTTGTTCCGGCTTAATAACATTCATCAACACCCAGTAACCAGACTTAACAGAATATAGACCCGATTTGTGAAATCCCATGAATATCTATCTTCGCTAAAGCGGCCACCAGGTCGTATACTTTGCACTCGAGCAATATCCTCATCCGTCAGAAACGCCCCAAGGAACTCCATATTCCATTCTCGACCATTACTATGGAGCATGTCTCCAACTATATTTAACTCATTAACAACATGGCGTAGGTGCGGTTGCACCCATTTAGTTGCCAAAACTGGTTTAGCCGGCTTCCTCTCAATCCACTGCTCACCCCAAATTGATGTCTTTTGACCATTACCAATAATCGCCCTTGCACCTCTTTTAATAAAGTTCTGTGACGCAAGAATACTCCTCCATGCATATGAAGGTCCAGAACCTAGCTTTGCATTCAACGGATCAGAATGAAGGAAGTACCTTGCCTTATATACCTTAGCTATCAAAGACTCAGGGTGGGATATTATTCTCCATAATTGTTTGCCCAAAAAAGCCACATTAAAAGCCTCCAAATCTCGAAAACCCATCCCACCATGGATCTTGGCCTTGCTCATATATTCCCAGGTCTTCCAGTGCATACATCTCTTCTCCTGGTTATTTCTCCACCAGAAATCAGCCATGACCTGAACAATCTCCTTACAGACCATCTTTGGCAAGAGGAAGCAGCGCATAGTATAAGTGGGAAGGGCTTGACCGACATATTTTAACAAAATTTTCTTCCCTCCTTGCGACAAAAATCTGTTCTGCCAACTACCCACTCTGTTCTCCAGGTTCTCCTTAAGACAGCTAAATATCGACACCTTGGAACTACTAAAAGATTCAGGCATCCCAAGATAATTGCCTTCCCCACCTTCTTGGTCTATCTCCAGTTTACTTTTAATATCAGCCCTTCTTTCTTCTGGGATTAGTTTGCCAAAGTACACACTCAATTTCTGGTAATTAATTCTTTGGCCAGAAGCAAGGCTATACAAATCAAGGATTCCAACCAAAACGCCTAATTCTGCATCATTCTCTTTGCAGTAAAACATATTATCATCAGCAAAAAGAGGTGCAAAATTGGGGGAGCTGTTCTTGCTACTTTAAGACCGGTAATTCTCTTATCATTCTCAGCTTTCCTCAACATTCTGACCAGAATTTCAGTACACATAACAAAAAGATAGGGTGATAGCAGATCACCTTGTCTCAGGCCTCTGGATGGGATGATGTTACCGACTGCTTGACCGTTTATGAGTACCTGATAAGAGACCGTCTTCACACACATCATGATCAGGTGAATGCACCATTCGTTGAAACCCAATATTCTAAGAGCCATCCTTAAAAAACTCCACTCAACCCTGTCATACGCTTTGGATATGTCCGTCTTTATTGCTATGAATTCCTCCGAGCACTTGTTCTTGGATCTTAGTGCGTGAAGAAGTTCATGAACCACCAGTATGTTGTCGGTGATTAGACGCCCTTTCACGAATGCAGCCTGCAATTCTGATACAATTGCTGGTAACAGACCCTTAATCCTGGACGCCAAGACTTTAGCAATAACCTTGTACGCTACATTACTTAGGCTGATTGGTCTAAAATCAGCCATCTTGTTTGCCTTCATCTTCTTTGGGATTAGACAAATAATCGTCTTATTAACTCCATTCCCCATAATACCAGTCGTGAAGAAGTCTTGCACCATACTTGTAATCTCATCCCCAATGTCCTCCCAAAACTGCTGATAAAAGAACCCATTCATACCATCTGGGCCCGGACATTTACTCGGGTTGATATCGAAGACCGTCTTTTTCACCTCCTCTCTAGATACAGGCTTGATGACATCATCATTCTGGGCCTGAGAAATCCTCTTCTCGTACCTATGTATCTCATTAAGAATATTCTCACAGACCCCAATATCTTCAGAACTAAAGAGAGTCTTAAAGTATTTTTCTGCAATCCTTCCAAAATCCTTCTCCGCAAACCACTCTTTACCCTGATGCGATTTTGGGCTCTCCTGTTTTTAGTAGCCGCATGAAAAAACTTTGTGTTGCGATCTCTTTTGGTTAGCCAAGTGACTCTACTTTTGAGTTTCCAAAACTCCTCTTCCTTTCTATACTCATGGTCAAGCTCCTTTTTCATTCTTCTTATCTCCTCAGTAGACACATCCTCCCTTTTGGATGCCTCATCTATATGAAAATATAGCTCTTGGATTCTCTTGGCAGAATTCGATTGGTCTTTCTTTTCCATCCTGAGATAGCTTTCCGTGCATATTTGATTCAGTCCATAAAGTCTACTCTATTTCCAAAATACATAGCCTTCCAAGCTTTCACTATTCCTTCCCTAAAACCGTCCATACCAAAAGGCCGGTGATCATATTTGAACTCTGCCCATCTTTTTCTTTGATCCTCTAGCAGGCATGTGATTAGAGGGCTGTGATCAGAGCTCACCCGTTGGAGATAGTTAGCCTTTGCTTGATCAAACATCTCGGCCCAAGCTTGATTAGCTACCGTTTTGTCCAGTCTACATTTCACCAGCTCCTCATTCCTTCTGCCAATCCATGAAAACTGAAATTCATCGTGTCTAACATCCCACACACGTTTTCAACATCTGTTTGAATTCCTTACATGTGTCTTCACTTCTCTCATTACCACCCTGTTTCTCTGAGGGATCCACCAACTCATTAAAGTCCCCTGTCATCATCCATGGAGCATTTCTTTCAATCTCAATTCTCGTTAATCTTTCCCACACCATTCCTCGGTTTTGTTTGACAGGGTCCCCATAAATACATGATAGATAGAACTATTTATCCTCTCATCTAACTCTAGTATCAATGATTCTTTTGTCCAAGTAGAGGATACTAACAGAAACAGACTCTCTCCACATAATTGCTAATCCTCCACTTAGACCAACTGGTTCCACATTATGCAGATCATGATAACCAAGATGTCCTACAACATTTTTCAGGTATCTTCTTTTATTATTGGTCTCACAGAGGAATACTATTTCAAGGAAATACCGACATCGTATTTCCCGTAATTGACGAACTGTAGGGATATTCCCCACCCCCTGAAAGTTACAGCTCAGTACTCTCATTGAGGCTTCGAAGGGTTGGTATTAACCATCAACCCTTCTTTAAACAAAGATCCACTACCATCAGCCATAAAAACAGCAGAATGGTTTGGGATATCGTCACCTTCTAAGGTAGACTTGTTCTTACAGAGTTCCTGTTTCCTGAGCCCTTTCCTCCTGATTCAGATCTATCCCCTCCAAGTCTAAGAAACATCGAATAAGAGCTAGGAGAGTTCAGCTTAGCTTCAGTTCTTGCTCTTTTGTTATTCCTATCATCACTTGAGCTGAGCCGTCTCCTCTTTTGAGCTATCTGGTCTCTCATTTCCTCCACTAGTCCCTCCGCTCCAAGCCTTTCAAAAACCAATAATGAGTTACTCCTCTCCGATCCCCCAATGTCTTTACCTTCAGGCAAACCCTCCTTTACTTGCGATTTACCGTGACATCAAGGATCTATTTCCTGACTTCCGTTCTTTTTTCCAGAACTATTCCCGGAGTCTCTAAGCCTATTGAAAACAGACGGGGACCTAGCTGAACCAGCCTGACCACTCTCATCGGATCTATGTCTGTTCTGAACTTCATTGCCACTGGACATTCTTTTTTCTTGAGTGGAAAAAACAGACTCTTTAGCACTAGCTGAGCTAACCCCATCAATACCCTTACCAGCTCCTGATCCTTCTTTTTTCCTCCAGACTTGACCACCGCGATGTTCTACCATGTGTGAAGATGATTGGTTCCAGTGTAACCTCTCTTTTACTCCTCGTCTGGAAGTCCTGATATCCGCCAAAGAAGAGGAACTTTTTTCACTTCCACTTTTCACGTTTTTCTCCACAGCAATCTCCTTTCCTTTTCCTTTAGATCGAGTTTTCTCCCCTTCTCTCTTTGAGCTGGATCTTCTAGGAGCCTCCAAGCTTTGACTCTTTCCTTCACTAATATTATAGGAGCATGCCGCTTGGTCATGAGTGAGTATCTTGCATAGAAAGCAAGCATTCAGGAGCTTCTCATAGATGAGTTCCGTAAGAATATTTTCTCCAGTGTGGAACCTTGCACGTTTCCTAAACTGCAAGGGTTGATCAGCAGGGAGCCAGTCATGTGCTCTAACATATTCCACATAAGTAGAGTTTTTCGCGTGAAGCTCAATACCATCCACTCTACCTAACGGGAAAATCAAACTGTCTACTACTTGATTCTTCAGTAGATGCACTGGCAAACCTTAATTCTAATCCAGAAGGGAATTAGATTCAAATAATCTGGTCCAGGAGTTGGAGACCATCGATCACATTCAAAAATGAACCACGGTACATTCACAAGAACATGGTCCTTTAACAAGAACATGGTTCAGGTTTCTCTCGCATCCAAAAATGAACTGAAATCGGTTGTCTCCCACAACTCTGCCCCTCACCTTGTCTTCTAGATCCCAAATCAGGGGGAGAGCCTTTAGCAAGCCACCAACTTTATGGACCGCCGGATTGAGACATCGGACCACTACACTCAGGGAATTTTATTCGAGAAGGTCTTATTTATGTTACCAAACAAGTCAATTTAATGTAATATAAATAAAATAATATATTTTAAATATATTTTAAAATAAATTCGAAAATTTAAATTTGAATTTAGATTTGTTATAGATTTCTTTAAATATAGGTTGCATTATTTATCAAAAATCATAAAATAAATTATTATAATATTTTTACAAAAATAATAAAATTAGATATTAATTTAGATTTAATTTAAATATTTAAATTTAAATAATATTTTCAATGAAAAAATGAAAATGATATATTATTGTAAGTTTTATGAAATGAATCTAAAATTTTAAATATTCAAACTTAAAATATATAAAATATACAAATAATATAAATGGATGGGTTAGAATCATATTTTAATAATTGCGGTTCTTTTTTATTAATATAATTAGATATGTTATAATGACGTTTTTATTAACGTTGTATTTTTGGATTAATATGAAAAAACAGGTTAGAATAATTTGTTTTTGTAACCGCGATCATATATTTATACTAGAAATAATAAATTAATAGAAACAAATTATATAGAAACAGAAAAAGTATTTACCAGTTATTAAAAATTATATCTAAACAAAAACAAAAAACATAAATTATATTACAAAATTTTGATAAATTAAAAATAGTTTTGTGCAGATGCACGTAATAGAATCTAGTTAGAAGTTGTTAGGGATTCTAAGTTTTATTTTGGGTTTGGAAATATTTCTTCCACAAATAATTGAAGGTCTCAAATTATAGGATATGAAAACTGTTTTTGTATTTCTTGTTAAAGTTATCTTTGGGACCAAAACCTATTATTTATATATAAAAATAATTTTTAGTATGACCAATTATCAAATTAGAAATTACTGAACTTATCTTTACATTAAATTTCTAAAACACTTATGCCCCTTAGTTATTAACTTGATTCTAAAATGACCACTTAGTGGCCTTAACATATTAATTAATTCTCTGACCCCAAAATAGATCTTACAATTTTTCACTGGATCATATATGTATCCTGAAAATATGATAGATTTTATGAGAGCTAAAAAATTCCATGATATTACATCTGAGAGTATATAAAATCTTTTCCTTGACTATAGCAACATAGATTTGTTATAACAATCATAATTAAACATTCTATGATCACTGAAATCAGTATAGCCAAATAACATAGATCAATTATGAAAAGTATGACATGAAAATCACATGATGGTGATAAATACATGTCCATTTTCAAGTGGTCCTATTTTATTGAAATCTTGTAATTTAGTGTATAGATGTAATCCAAAGCTTTACTTCTGATCAGAAAATAATGTGCATAAAACAACCAAAACATAGAACAAAAAAAAAACAAATGATAACTCCCATTAAACCAAATGATCCTCGAACACTGAAACACCCATTTGAGCAGTATACTCATGAAAGACCTTTGGTGGAATACCTTTTGTAAGAGATCTGCTATCATGGAGTTTGTCCCTAAGTGTTCTATAGAAATCTCAGCTCTCTGTACCTTCTCCTTCACAACTAGGAACTTGATGTCAATAAACTTTGACTTTGTCATGCTTTTATTGTTATTGGAGTAAAAACAGCTGACTTATTGTCACAATATAACTTCAATGGTCTTTCAATTCCCTCAAGAATTCGCAGCCCTGTGACAAAATTCCTCAGTCAAAGTGCCTGATTTGAGGCCTTGTAAATTGCTACAAATTCTGCCGCCATTGTGGAAGAAGCTATAAGTGATTGTTTACCACTACGCCAAAAAATAGCTCCAGCGGCCAATAGAAAAACAAAACCTGATGTAGACTTTCTACTATCTCAACATCCATCAAAGTCAGAATCAGAATACTCAATGATCTCCGAATGATCTGATCTCTGATAAGTGAGCATATAATCTGTTGTTCTCTGCAGGTACCTCATGAATTTTTTGGGTGCTTTCCAATGGTCCAAACCTGGATTAATTAAGTATCTGCTTAAAACTCCAACAATGTACACTAAATCCGGATGCGTAGAAACTTGAGCATATATCAGAATTCCTACTACAGATGCATAAGGCATCTTCTGCAGTTTCTGAATTTCCAAATTTCCTTTAGGGTATTGATTGAGACAAGAGCCATGATTGTCTTAAAAGATTCCATTGATAAAACTGGAAAATATCTTTCTTTGTAGTCAATATCTTCTTTTTGAGTATATCCTTTAGCTACTAGACGAGCCTTGTATATCTCTCCACATTACCACTTGAGTCCAGTTTGGTCTTAAATTTCATTTGCAACCTAAGGGTTTCTTTCCTTCTGGTAACTAGACAAGGTCCCAAACGTTAGTCTAGCATTGACTGATACTTTTTTTCACTAGTTTTGACCCACTTATCTGAATTAGAATTGTCCATGGCCTCATGAAAGTTGATAGGATCATCTTCCAATTGGGTTTAATTCGCTCTTGTTCCATAAGTACTGTGTAATCATCTCGAATAGTCTTCTTTCGCTAATGGATCGCTGCAAATGCACATGTTCTTGTTGCACCATCTCTTGAGGATTTTGAATTTAACCTTCAGGTTTGATAACATCTTTAATTTGGAGAAAGAACTTCAATATCAACTTGAGGTTCCAAATTTTCTTTGTCCAAAGCAACTATACGAACCAGATTAGGAACCAAAATTAATTCTTCTTCAAAAATGATGTTCTTAACTTCATTTCTCCTTCCAAATTCAAAATCCTCAAAAAAATGTGATTATTCCCGTCTAAAAAATAGTCTTCTGTGTGGGATCATAAAACTTATAGCCCCTAAATCACTCAGAATAACCAACAAACTAACTGCTCACAGTTGTGAAGTCCAACTTCTTCTCAAATGGCCTATAAGGCCTAGCCTCAGTTGGACATCCCCAAATGTAAAAATATTTCAGACTAGGTTTTCTACCAGTCCAAAGCTCCTAAGGTGTCTTTGCAGTTGCCTTAGTTGGTACTCTATTAAGAATGTAAGCTACAGTTTTTGTGCCCCTCCCCAAAGTGATTCAGGTGAAGTGGAATGAAAAATCATACTCCTTACCATGTCCTTAATTAAGACTGCGATTGCATCTTTCCGATACACCATTCATACTGGGAGACCCAGGCATAATGTATTGGAGAACAATTTAACACTTCTCTAGGTATCTAGCAAATGGTCTTCAATGCTGTTCACCTAAAC